GGTGGTGCAGGCCCAGGGAAGCAGAGCGAGGTGAGGGCAGGGCCAGGACCAGAAGTGGTGCTCCTGCAGGCCCAGGGAAGCTGAGAGAGGTGAGGGTGGGGTCAGGACCAGAAGCGGTGCTCCTGGAGCCCAAGAAAGGGCCTGAGTTGCTCTGGGTGAGAAGGATCAGGAAACAGTATTGGTTCCCCAGGTGTCTGGGGCCCCAAGACTAGGAATGGCACAGGGTCCAAACTAGAGTATAGAACAGCGGGCGGGGAGGCAGGGGGGTGGGGTGTGGAGTGGAAGGGTGAATGAGGCTTAGGGAGTCCCAGCGCAGAGAGCTGCGCTGTAGACTTACCCCAAGAGGCCTGAGGATAGTCAGTTTTTCTATTTCTGCTACAAAATTTGGTCTGCTTAACTTTTCTAATTTAAAATTTCAGTAATCCATTGTTCCTTAGAAAGTTATTCAAGGTTTCAAATGTATTTGCGTGGAGTCCTCTGTAATTTTTCTGTTTCAATGCTTACTTACCATTTCTTGTTTTTGTATATTTGTACTTTCTTACTTTTTCTTTTTAATCATGCCACCAAGTGGTTTGTGTACTCTGATATTTTTTCCCAAAAACCCTAAAAATAAAATTGTTTCAATAATTTTAGCTATACTGTGTTTAATCCTTTTAAAACTTCAATACTTAGAATCAAGCCAGGCATGGTGGCACATGCCTTTAATAACAGCATTCTGGAAACAGAGACAGATGGAGCTCTGTGAGATCAAGGCCAGCCTGGTCTACATAGTGAGTTCCAGGCCAGCTGGGGCTGCAGGGAGACCCTGTCTCAAAAAAGACACACACGCAAACACACACACATACACACATACACAAAACCCTTCACTACTTAGAATCAAGCACAATAGGTGCGTATGGAAGTACATATGTGTAGTCCTACTACTTGGGAGACTGAGGCAGGAGAATCATAAGCTTTAGGCTACCCTGGGCTACAGAGTGATTCCAGGCCAACCTGGGCTACACAGTGAGACCCTATCTCAAAAATTAAAACAGAAACAAAAGAAAGACTTCAGATATGGGACAGTTATACAGGGCTAGGTTCCAGATGTGGTCTCTGTATGTGGCCTTATTGAAGTGACACAGAGAAAATCACTCTGTCCAAGAAAAGGTAGACCATCATCATCATAGATGCCAAAGTCCTTCCTGGACAGTGGTAGACATTACACTACATTGACTATTTAGCATTCTTCCAAGATTCATGCAACTTTAAAACAATGATGAGTATGTCTTCAATTAAATCATTGATTAAAAACTAAAAATCTTAATTGAAGAGAGAGGCTGGGCACATTGTTACTGTCTGCATAGAGACATGGATCTGTCCGAGGGCTTCTAACAAGTACCCAGAGCTTCACAGCTACATGGGCCAATTTTTACCCCAGTGACAACTTGCACTGCCCTCTTCTAAGCCCCAGATCCTCCCTTTCCTTCTAACCTGAGGGATCAACCTCTAAACTGAGGGTCTGCCTCTGTGGCCTGAAGATATCTGCACTTCCCACCTAAAGACAGGCAAGATCCAGTTCTTGCTACAAATGCTGGCTGTTGGCTTTGAGAATCCTGACTTGAAGGACAAAGTCATACTTGTGAGGACCAGCGCACCACCTACTTCCTGACAAAGACGCTTATCTTAGAAGAGACCTGAGTTGTCTGGGCTGCTTGGTTTTGACAAAAGGTTACACCATCTCCTTCTACAGCAGATGAAACACCATAAACTTTGCATGAGGCTATTACTCTCTGAAGGAGGGACTGGTAGCTTTCTCCTCCCCTTCTGCCTCCTTCGCCTTTTTTCATGCTCCCTCTTCCAAACTGCAGCTTTGTATGAATGATAAACATGTGAACTAGGGGAAAGTCAGAACTTCCCTCGTAATTCACCACTATCTTTTCATCACCTCCAACCTCCCTCAGCCTCCATCCTCCTCTCCACCCGACCTACAACCTGGCATCTGAAGTGACTCTTTAAAGGCGCCTTGCAGGGCTGGGGTAAGGAGGGCTCCACTGCATTTCATGCATAGTATTCGGTGAAGATGAGGTTCAGCAAAATAAACTGTCTGCAAGCATGAAACATGCATATTAAAAATATGTTGAGGGGCTACAGAAATGTCTCAGCAGTTAAGAGCACTGGTTGCTCTTACAGAGGAGCCAGTTCCCAACACCTATATGTTGGCTAACAACCATCTGTAACTCCAGTTCCAGGGGATCCAACACACTTTTCTGGCCTCTGCAGACATGGCATACACGTGGTAAACTTATATACATGCAGACAAAACACTCATGCACATAAAAAAATAAGTAAATCTAAAAATAACAATTTAAAAAAATCTCAAGAATGCCATAATCCCCTTGGTTCTTGGTCTGTTTCCTAAAAATAGCTGGCGAGTCAAAACAAGACCATGACAGTTCTAGTCAGACCCAGTACTGGTGGTGTAGCTAACAGAAAGTACAGCAGTAACAGTAACAGTAAAATACAACAGAAGAAAAGAAGGAATTAACTTTTACAGTACAGAATTTCAGTTCTGTAAGATGAAATGAGTTCTGTGGATACGTGGTAGTTATGCCGGCACAACACTGGGAATAAACTCAATGCCCACTGAGCTGATAAATAATTAAGACGGCTAATGTTTATGTTATGTACATTTTGCTAAACTTTTTAATTTAGGTACTAAGTCCTAGAATATCATCCAGCCATTAAAAAGAATGGTTATTCAGACTTTGCTGCTGCATAAACAGAAAGTTACAATAGTGTAAATTATTTTCAATTTTTAAAATTTTTTTTTAATTTTACTGAATTTTTTGTGTATTTTATACAGAACACCTCAAACAATTTTAATCATCTTTATACCCCCGTCCCCACTGGCACCCTCCCATAGACCCCCTCCTCCCACTGGAGCCCATATACTCTGTCATCCCTGTTAAGGCCCACTGTGTTGTCAGTGTCCCCAGCCATTCCCCTGTGCAAGTCCATCCACTGAGTCTAGTCAGTCTATCTGGAATCCCTTGTTTTAAGAAGATCAGCTCTTCTTCATCTAGTGTAAATTTTTTTAAAGCAGAACAAAAGAAATTTCTATTGATGACTGTAATTGTTTAAAATAAATCTATAGGAACATACTGGGGAAGACTGGCAGGAAATGACATCAAGTTGCTAACAGAGTGGTACATAGTTCCTTCTCTCTTTTCTACAGTTCAAAAGTTTTACACAAAAATGTTTTGACATTTAAAAATGTTACTAACAAAGATGATTCCTTCCTAGCTATAGGTGTTTCTTTCTCTTACTATATCCTTCCTAGACACACAAAAAAGCCTATTTGTATCTATTTATTGAGTGCTATCTAGGTGTAAGCCACTGGTATAGAGACTAATAATATTTCAGTAAATTAAAAAATGTTTTTTCCTGCTTGGAACTTACATCCTAGTGGAGAAACACAGCTAACATACTTAAGCAAAACAAACCAGACACACAAACAAGGTCACTAGACACTGACAGTGCTGCGTAGAGAGCTGGTGATGCAGCAAACCTCAGCATTCTAGAATAAGAAGTCAGCGGAGAGTCAAAGCATGAGTGATCTGAGTTGACATCTGAAGGACAAGAATCAGAGTTGGGCAATTAGGGAAGACAGTAAGAGAGGGCTAATGCCAAGATACTGGGCAAAATCAACATGCCCAGTAAGAGGAACTGAAAGTGATCACTGTGTCTATGGCGTACAGGATGACAGAGAAAGTAGCAGGAGGTGAAGACACTGTCCTTCCTTCAGGAACTTGTAATAGCTCAGTAGCCATACAGAGACCATTAACATTGCTCCTCTTTGGGCACAAACCCACAGAGAACTTCACTAACAATAATTATATGCCAAGGGCAGGGCGTGCAAGGCTTTACAAAGAAGACTTTTATTCTTCCCCTAGACTACAATTTCCCTGTCTGTAATCAAAAGGATCAAATGGCACTATTCTCCTCAGAGAGGAAGGAGAAAGAGATTCACATTCCATAGCATCAACCCATGCCAAGAAGCCCAAATTTTTCCAAAATCTAGGCTTACTTATCCTTGCCAAACTCGAACTTCCCAGGTCCAACACGAAGCAGACAGCCATTGAGCCACTCAGGAATGTGTCCTCGGATGTGAGCAGGGATGGCCTGCGGAGTCTCCTCCACCGTGGTCAGCAGTGGGGCAATGTACCGCAGACTCTCGTGCTGTCCCAACATGGTTTTCTGATGAGTATTTCCCACGTACTTCAGAACTGTGAAAGGAAAGTCAAAAGCGCGTGCGCACGCGCGCACACACACACACACACACACACACACGCACGCACACACACACACACACACACACACACACGCGCGCGCGCACAAATGTTACCAGATCTCCCTTTAACGTGCCTATTCCACGTTAATAATTCTGTGGACTGGCAGCGTGAAGGAAATATAAACCTAATACCAAGTAGGCTTCAAATCCCTCTCTTTCCTCATTCTCACACCACCAACATGGATGCTCCGTTTCTGAGTCATAGCAATTCTATTTTTCAGTGGTACTCTAAATATTAAGTCAGGACTTTACTATTGTTAACACCTCTCATAGTTGCACAATGCTTATCTTTTTAAAAAGATTAACTCCACATCTTAACCCCAGATGTGCTAAAAGCAACTTGACTATTATAGTAAAACTGGTGGCCATTCAATATTATCACACTGATCCCAATACTTTGAATCAATACTGTTCTCCAATGAGAACAGTATCATAAATTATCCAGGAACCCACACTATGAAATGACATGAAGTCAATAAGCTACAAGAAGTAAAAGTCATCATATAATCAGCAGCTAAAAATGCCCCTACTATTTCATACTTACCGTAGTTCACACGGTAGTAAGTATTGCTTAAATGTAAAGAGGTGTGGTCAAATATAACTGTAGTTAGAATAAATTTGTTTTGCTTTGTTTGAGACAGGGTCTCCCTGTAGCCCCAGCTGATCTGAACTCATTAGGTAGACCAGACTGGCCTCAATATCACAGAGATCTGCCTGCCTCTGCCTCCTGAGTGCTTGGATTGAAGGTGTGTGCCACCACACCCTAGCTAATTGTAATTTTGGATACAATATTTCACTTCACCAATGATACAATCCAAATTTCATCAGTGATGCAAAAATCCAGACTAGAAAAAATGAACTAACAGATAAGGGAACTATTCTCCTTTAAGACACAAGTTTTATGTTCTTTTGACAAATTATTTTATATATTATATTTATTATCTAATTTCTTTCAAATATTCAGTTTGGAGCACTCAAGATCTTTTACTTTCCTAAATATAACAATTCAGTCAGGCCCAGCTATTTCTTGTTCTCTCAAATAAAATTCACTTTCAGCCTGAATGCCTTCCCCAAAACCTCTCCATAAGAAAGTCCTAAGTGGAGATGTAGGTGTATTTGCCTGATATACCCAAAGCCTTGTATTTGATTCCAGCAATGAAAAACCAAAAACCAAACAAACAAAGCCAAGAGGATTTTTCCCAGTTGTGGTGGTACACACTGTAATCATAATTTATCCAATGACATTCCAGAGGTAAAGGAAGGAGAAGTGAGACCAGCCTGGGTTACACAGTGAGACACTGTCTGGGGGTTGGGGGCGGGTGATAATCAGGGGATGGCAGGAGGCAGAGGGGTTGGGAGGCAGAGGGCAGGGCAGCTGACCAATTAGTGAGTAGCAACAGGTTCAAGGAGAGACCCTGTCACAAAAAAAAAATAGGTGGAAAGCAATTAAAGAAACCTGATATCAACCTCTGGCCACGTACACATACATACAAAGAAACAGAAAAAGAAATTCTATCTATTGTTCAAGGTCTACCTTAAATGTTACTTCCTTCATAGCCCAGCATAGCACATAGCCAGACTGCTTAGGTTCAACTGTTCACCACTGCCAAAGTAAGATTCTCAGCCTAGGAGTTGGAGATGGCTCAGCAGTAAGAGTGAGTACTGTTCTTCCAGAGGACCCAAGTTTAGTTCCCAGCACCCATGTTAGACACCTCACAACCTTCTGTAATTCCAATTTCGGGGGCTCTGATATCTCTGGTCTCCAGGGACACCTACATTCATGTGCACACACACACACACACACACACACACACACACACAACTAAATAATAAAATAATAATGTAAGGGGGCTAGAGAGATGGCTAAAGAGTTAAGAGCACTGGTTGCTCTTGCAAAAGACCTAGGTTCAGTTCTCAGCACCCACATGACCACTAACAGTAGTTCATATCTTCAACTCCAGGGACATCCTCTTCTGGCCTCTTAAGTGCACTGCATGCACATGGTGCACTTAATATACATGCAGGCGAAAACATTCACACACATAATATAAAAATAAATAATTAAAAAATAATAATAATAATAATATACCCAGGTGTGGTCGCACACGCCTTTAATCCCAGTACTTAGGAGGCAGAGGCAGGCGGATCTTTGTGAGTTCGAGGCCAGCCTGGTCTATATAGTGAGTTCCAGGACAGCTGGGGCTACAGGGAGACCCTGTCTCAAAAAGACAAAAAAATAATAATAATTATAATAATAATATAAAACTTGTTTTAAGAGATTCTCAACCTGTTTGTATTATTTCTTCCTTTCTACGGCAGGTTATAAGTAGTATGTGTGCTTATGAAAAGCTTTGGGACACAGTAAATATCCCCACAATGTTTTTTTATTATGTAGCTTCCAGTGATCAGTCCAATAAGGTGTACTATGTATCTTCTTTGAATTATTCTAGTTATTCGACAAAAAACTAGGCAGTGCTGTAAGATTAAGTATTAGAACTGGACATAAAGGAACTTGTCGCCTAGTGGACACAAATGACTAACAGTGTTTGTTTAAGAGTTTCACTCTCTGGCTGGGCGTGGTGGTGCACGACTTTAATCCTAGCCCTCGGGAGGCAGAGACAGGAGGATCCCTGTGAGTTCAAGGCCAGCCTGGTCTACATAGTGAGTTCCAGGACAGCTGGGGCTGCAGGGAGACCCTGTCTCAAAAAGACAAAAAAAAGAAATTTTTACCTGTCTGAGGACTATTTACAACAAAAAGTTTCATTCTTGTCTGAAGACTATTTGCAACAAAAATACTACTTGTGCTATTATCTGGTATTGGTGCTAAAATGCAAACTCCTTGACTCCAGTTCATATCTAATAACTCAAAATCTCTGGGGTGATGCACACAGGTATTCCTGGACATACTGGAATGTGGGAGTCACAGTATTAGGGGAATCAAGGATGTTTTGAAAGAAAAACAAAGTGAACCCCTCATCTGTTGTCCTCTACTTTTTGTTAACATTAGCATATTTATCTTATTCTCCTATTAAACTAAAATTCCCTGAAGATGAGTATGTTATTTTGTGTATATATATATGTATATTAGTTATTTTATATATATACATATAATATATATTATATATAAACTGAAATCCCAATTGGATGCACATGAATTTTAAGCATTTTTACACTTAGAAAATACTTGCACATTCTCTACTTCACGTTATTAGCTATCTACATGTTCTTCAAACTTTCTGTGCTATTCAATACGGCTGTCACCATCTCCTTAAACTTTTTGTAGTCTTGGCTTGGGAGACACTGTGTTATTCTAACTTTTCTGCCCCTCTCTGACAACTCTGCTTTATGCCAGCTTCATTACTCATTAGCTGGCAATCTTACGCAAATAGCTCAATCCTGTTGAACCTCAGGTATTTCATAGATAAAATGAGGATAAAGGGAGGTTAATGTTCCCTGCATGTATCTATCATCATAATTAAATATAATGACACTTTGCAAATGCTAATCCCCTTTACTAGATCTTTCTCCCTTATCACCACATAAATGTCAAGGCATAACCTTGGACCTTTCCTCTTAATCTCAACATTCTCCCTTGCCAATCTCACCTAGCCTTAAATTCACTAGTTGTCTTAGCGGTGACTCTCAACATGTCAGCATAGAATTCATTTTCCTCTTCCAGATCAGTCCTTCCACCAGCTAAATCACCTCACTTCAACATCTGTGAGTATTCAATTCATTTTGTCTGTTGTCTTTACATTTACTATGTAAAATTCTGCTGACCTCACCTACACAGGCACAGTATGTGAAAATGATGACATGAGGTGGCCTATGTATAAATCCCCAGGGCTCAAAAATCTGCACAGGTAACTAGAGAAATCCTGTTTCCACCAGTCCCTCCGCCCTGGCAGCTCTACAAGCTTTTTCCTAGCCTGAGCCTGTCTTCAAGACAGATGCTTCCACATCCCTTTTCCTTCCATTACTTCCTCCTACTGTCCTAATTTAGGCCCTTGCCTCCTAACTGGGTAACAGCCTCCCATTGGAAGGAAAAACTCAATAAGAAATCAAGCTATCTTCTATACACCAGAGCTTCCTAATCAGTGAGCCCCTTTGCCCATAGGATGGCAGGAAATGACAAGCCAATTGCCTCCAGCTCTAAGTAGCACATCAGGATTACAGATTCTAGTTGACTCCAATGACCAGTGAAAATATAATTTTTTTTAATTTTATTTTTTTTTCTGCATATGAATGTATTGCCTGCATGTATGTAAGTATACCCATGCCATGTAATGACCGAGATCAGAAAAGGGCATCAGATCCCCTGGAACTGGAGTAACAGAGATGGTTGTTAGCCATCATGTGGGTGCTGGGAATCAAACTTGGGTCCTCTGTAAGAGCAGTCAGTACCCTTAACCAATGAACCATGTCTCCAGCCCTGAAAATATTGTAATTTCTTAAGTGTGCAATGATATTGAAAAGACTGAGACACACTGCTACCAAATGAAACTTCTTCCTAAACATAGATCTGACTGCATCATATATCCCTCCATAACTCACAAAACACTTGTCAGTCTACCTGTAAAGTCTAAACTACTTGACCGGGCACTTAATGCAGGCCTTCTCTGGTCTCACCCCAGTCTACCTGCCCAGTTCTTCCTCTCACCAATGCCTCACTGGACCCCTCCCTGTTTTCTTCTCATTGTATCATTCTATCTGTTCACCTGGAAATTTCCCATCTCCTTCAGATGGAATGTACATACGCAACTTAAATCTTCAAGGTCCAGTTTCCATGTCACCTGCTTCATAAACAGCAAGGACTGATTCTCCTTAGTCTGAACTCACATTGCAGCTGTTTACAGCTTTCCTGTGCTCTGCTCCTTATCTCATTCTGTCGTGTATGATAAAGACGAATATACTTTACAATCTCTGCAAGCAGACTCCTTGAGAACAAAGTCTAGTTGTTTTCCCTCTCCTTCTAGTACCTAATCAATCACCTTACACACTGCAAGCACTAAACTAACAAATAATTTTAATTTACAGCTTATATCAGTACAATTTCTGTATCAGTCAACTTCTAGAAATAATCAAGGACTAATCATAGAACAGAAAGCTACAAAAGAAAAAAATCATGTTTTGAAACAGTTTCCCAGAATGCAAGTAGAAGAACCAAGCATTTACAATAGAACACGAGGCAGTAATTCCCCATCTGGAAAAGTCTGAATAATGAAAACCCTTTTGATGGCACATCCAAGAAAAATGTCTAAACCTGAATCTTGCCCTAGTGTTGCATAAACTGCTGGAACAGAAGGCTGTTTCCCAATAATGAGCAAACCAATCCTGAAGTCTTCTTTCACCTCTCCCTCTGTGGAGTTGCTGCCCACATCACACAGAGAGGAAACCTTGAGAAGTCTTCCAAACTCTTCAGGACACAGGCACCGAATCCAACTGCAGACTGGTAGGAAAAAAAAGAAGAGGGAAAGGAGGGGGCAGGGGTCAACCCCCTACCTGGGAGACGGTGTGTGCAGCACCACGGAAAGAAAACACACTGCAGTGGCAGAAAGACTGCTGAGATAACGGGAAAGGGACTCAAGAAAGTATTTTTGAGCAGTAGATCCCAACACTTCCAAATCTGTCCACCACTGGCAACTGTGAGTAAACAAGGTTCGTTCATAGCTTCCGGGGTTGAACCTGGCCCTGTGACAGAATGGGATGGGGAGGGGAGGCAGGGGCGGGGTTTCAAATCACCATTAATCCGAGTCTCATTTCCATGGCAAGAATCCAACAAACTAACTATAAATAATCTTTAGTCTTGACACATTAACATCAGACCAATAATGGTCTTCCTCCTTAACGTTTCCTTTCTCGAATCTGTCCCCAAGCTGTAGTGAAGTCGGGGGACATGAATCCACAGAGTACTTGCACTATGCCACTCCTCAGCTCTAAAGGATTCAGACACGGAATAAAGTCCAAATTCAGACAGTCAATAAAGGACTCTACCTTCAGACAAGAGGTTTATCATGACTTCCAGGTCAGCCTGGACTATAGAGCAAGACTTCTCAAAAAAAAAAAAAGTAATTTGATAAAATGAGATTTTATTTCAAAATTTAGAAGGCAGCAAGGCAAAAATGCTGCCTCCTTTAAGAATACAAATCTCTGGGCTGCAGAGATGGCTCAGCAGTTAAGAGCCCTGGCTGCTCTTGCAGAGAACCCAGGTTCTGTCCCCAGCATCCACAACCATCTGTAACTCTAGTTCCAGGGGCTCCAATACCCTCTTCTGGGCTGTACAGGCACTGCACACATGGGTGCCCTTACATACATGCAGGCAAATCACTCACACACATAATATAAAATAAATTTAAAGGCCAGGTGTTGTAGCACACACCTGTAGTCCCAGCATTTGGGAAGCAGAGGCAGGAGGATCTCTGTGAGTTCAAGGTCAGCCTGATATACATAGTGAGTTCCAGACCAGATGGGGCTACAGGGAGACCCTGTTTCAAAAAAAGACTGCCCCCCAAAAATTTTTTTAATAAAAATACAAATTCCCTGTGTTAGCCTATGCAAATGTATCCAATGTATTGCTTATATTAGAAAATCTACGTATAAAACTGAATTGCCTTATTTACTGAAACTGGAGACTGATTTTTTTTTAAATCTGGACAATGGAGTTATAAACCACATAGATAATTTTAATTAAAATCACAGCAGTACTTTATTTGTATCAAAGGAATAACTTTTTAGTCTGATATTAGATCCTCTAAATTCAATTTCGCATTATAAGGACTGAAGTGACCTGCCCAAGTCACCTTAAGCTGATCTCCTTAGTTCCATATTACTAATCTCTATCCCATTCCACATACTGCTAAGGCTTCCAAATATAACTCATTAACTTCATGAATTGATGGGATTAATATGTAAAAAGCCACTCTAACAGCCAGACACAGTGGTACCTAACTTTAGCCCCACCACTAGGAAGGCTGAGACAAGTGGACTATGAGTCTAAGAAAAAGGGATACATATAGCAAAACTCTTAATAAATAAATAAATAGCCAGGTTATGGTTATTTCTGATTTTTATTTTACTACTTTTATCACACACAAAAAAATTTAAGCCAGGTTTTTATTAGTCAAATATAATGGTTAATAGTAAAAAAAAAAAATCAAATGGTAATATTTAAATAGCAGTGGCACATAGTTATTTTATTATACTGAGAAACTGCATAAGTTATCTTTAATGTTTTAATGGTCTTTTATAATACTGACAAAGAAAAACATTTTAAAACTATCTGCTATTTAAATAAAATATTGTTAAGCATAATCAAATTAGCAGAGTCCTATTTTACAAGTTTAAGAAGGATAAGATGTTTGGAAGAAAAAGAGAAAGAAAAGAATATATATATGATTTTTAAACTTTGTATTTTTTATTTGCCATGCCAAATATTTGAGCCTCAAAAGAAATATTACATACTTCATATTAATGTCCAGCTTCCATCCTCTTTTAAATCTAGAAAAAAAGGAACTCGCCTCCTCCATTTAGTATATACATTTTCTTTAACAAATAAAAACATAAGGTCACTTTTTTATTACAACACTAATAGGCAGAAACTATCAGCTGATGTTAAGTATACATTTTATTTTTGCAGTGTGTTTGTAATCATTGTAAACCTCTCTTTCAGGAGCTCTCTTTTTTGTAGTAGGTAGTTTTCAATAGAATTGGCTTCTTTGAAGAGTCCATCTAGCTCGTTAATGTAAGATGCATCCACTGCTGCTCTCTCACTAACAACAGAAAAAAGTTTCATGTTAAATTAGTTATAAAGTCTAGATACACCATCATGGTGATGTACTTTATTATCTTGCATCTGCTAGTTATTTCATTTATATGGTTTTTCCCATAAGAGAAAGTAACTAATTTACTAATATTCTTCAGGGAAATTTTAAGCAAGTCCAACACATATATTTTGACTACTTAAAAAGTCTCCTGACACATGGAAAGTACACTTTACTCACTACAATATTAAATTATATAAATTAATCTTACAATTACAAACTATTACTCAGGTAATAGTTTGCCAAGAAGCTTAAAAAACACCTTATAATATATCATAATCTGAAGCCATATTTTTAAATCCACACATACTGAGAAAATATATCAAATACTTTAACTTCTATTAACATAAATTCCACAAGACTAATACTATTCTCAAAGAGATAGTTATATAAAATTTAAAAGACAGTATCATCTAATTAGAGACAAAATCTAGTCTAGTATTAACTCTGGCAATACCACTAAGGATGTTTAGATAAGTTGGGGTAAGTCCCTCAAAATAATCAACTAACCTATTATAAGAAATTGAGATAGCATTTTAAGACTTCAAAATCTTAGTTAATAGATAGGCTGTTCAGCCATGGAATAAAATTTCTCATTACAGAGTTTTCAGGAGAAAAGGCTTTCTAACATAAACACTCAAGAAAATATACTGTAAGTACTTACCTTAAAACCTTTGCATACGTAGTCAGCATCACATTAATTTCCTTGCTTATATCTGTTTTTAAAAAATCATTGAGTATGCTGTGAAATGCAATAAACTTTTTGTCTGATATAATCAATGTACATAAATATAAGCATTTTATACATCACCACTCAAATCTTTCTCCAGGGAGTCATCTTTAAATAGTCCAGAATATTCAGAGAAATATGAATTTAAGTTTCCAAGAGAAGATTGCTGTGGACTAACTGGCAATTGGGGCTAGTAGAAGAAAGTAAACAGGCAGGTCAGTAAGAAGATCTTTAGGACACATATATTCTGTTTATTTAAAAAAAAAATCACGTATTTTTCAGAGGGGGTGAGGACATGGTTCAGGACTACAGTGCTTAGCTAGCATGCTTAAGTCAAGATCCCAATTTCAATACTCAGTACTGAGAAAGAAAAAATGAAACTCCATGCTGGGAGTTGGGGATTCAGCGCAGTTGCAGAGCACTGGTCTAGGCCCCAGCACTGAAAAATATATTTTTAAGGGGGAAAAAAAGGCAGGCATGCTAGAAATTATATACTAATTAAAGTTTTTATTATCAACAAAACCTTTAGGCTCAAGAAGTACCTCTGTCAAAATACTAAATTTTATTTAGTTTTGGATTTTATTAAAAGTCTTGTATCTTGCAACAGCGAATATTTCTATAGCAATACAGTAACTTTTTGCAAACTTTCTGCAATATAGGGGCTGGTCAGATGACTCAACTATAAAAACCTTTGTCACACAAGACTGACAACATGAATTCAATACCCATACCTATAGTACATAAGAATTTTATTTATCCTAGCAAATAATTATGTTTAAGTAAAGTCCTATGTATCAAAAAGAAATGGACTCGCTTCTGTTACATTTCATTATCACAAGCTATCAAAAAGAAATCTACAAGTAGTTTCTTATAAGTCTCTTCTTAATGAAAAAACACTTGGAGTCAACATACTTCCTGCTAGAACAATCCTAGCCCTGGAAATGTACGAATATTAAATTCCATTAACCAGTACCCCCCTCTTCTTTGACATAGGGTCTCCCCATAGCCCCAGTGGGCCTGGAGGTCCCTGTGTAGACCAGAGTGACCTCAATTTCATGGAGATCTGCCTGCCTCTGCCACCCAAGTACTGGGATTAGAGGTGTGCACCATCCTGTCTGGCTAGTAACATTTAAAAAAATAAGAAAGAAACTCAACATTTTCTTAAATTAAAAAAAAAAACTTTGAGAAATATGTAAAGTACAATAAAAGACTCCAGGAGCATAAAGCTTACCTCCAATTCTCTTGACCGCTTGCAACTTCTAGAATCTGGTTTTACAAGGTGGTTTGCCATCATACTCTAGAGGCACAAACTATAAAGTGTACGGCAATACCAAATTTAGGTACAAACCTTCAGCTCTCTTGAATCCTTTCCTTTTTCTACTGCTGCTATTAATTTCAGTTCTCATGACCTGTCACCTAAACTTTAATGTCTTCCTTCTCTAATTCATCTTATCTTTTGAAACTCTGATTATTGTATTCACTTCCTTCAAGTATCTTTCGGGTAAGGTAAGTTCTGTCACGAGGTCTTCCACTGTCTGGTGCCAATCTACTGTTCAGACCATTTTCAACTACTCTTCTCCATGTAATGAGCCCAACTAATCTCTTTGGCATTTCTGTCTCATTTCAGCACCAGCACATTTAAGATTCTTCTATTTTCAACAAATGCTAATGTTAAAATAGAATTTATAACTCATTTCCCTCAATTCCAATCTCATTATCTGCCCCCCACCAACCCACAACACACAAATGAGAAAACGGGCAGACAGCTGACCAAGCTTAAAACGGTAAGGCTGGGCTATACCAGAACAAGATCTCCTTATTCTGGGATTGTTTCCACTGGGCTCCCCTTACCTTCATACGGCATCAAACTGCCTTCCTATAAATTCTGAACTATTTTCCCAAGGGTCTGAAAAGCTAGGTTTAAACTAGAAAAAAAAAATATTGGAGTTTAAAAGATTGTCTCTACACCTTATAACTGAAACAATCTATTTACATTGAAATTACCAATTTGGGTTTTTCTAACTATGATGAGTTGGATAACTGTAGAGAATCCAGTTACTCATATATAACATGCATATAATGAAAACAAGAGCAAAAAGCACCCTGTAAAAGGGTCTGTCGGTACAGTACCGTGCTCCCGAACCCTACACCACCTTACAGTGGTAAGTTTCAGTGCTAGCCTAGTAACATGCAAACACTACTCCACATGCATAGAAGCACTGACACTGCCTTAAGGAGGTGAAAAGTATTTCAGAGAAACCAACAAGGGAAAATTCTTCTTCCCCTTTTCATTTTCCCTTTTCCTTTCCTACTTCCTCTTTCTTGAAATAACAAAATGTACACATACGTCCAATGGGAACTTTCATACTGAGGTAATTCTGTCTTTGTAAAGCACACTGTTTCCGTCACGGTTCAGGATGCCCCCAGCCTGGAGTGATGACGGACTGACCCCCTCCACCCGCCAAAGGGCAGGGCCCGCCACTGCGGGGGCCGAGGCGGCGCCCTGTGCAGCTGCGGTAGCTGATTTGGCATCCGGGGCTCTAAGACAAGGTCTCACTACGTAGACCAGGCTAGCCTGGAACCCCCTAGACGGCCCATATTGGCCTCCAGCTCACAGCACTCCCTCCCTCACCTCGAGTGTGCTGAGACGGCGACGGCCGCTGCTCTTTCCTCACGCTAGTCTCTCTCCTCACGCCACGTCACGCCCTCCCCACCCCCCCCTTCTCCCGCCTCCCCTCCCTCCTTCCTCTCCTCCCCCTCCTCCCCACACTCTACCCCCAGCCCTGCCGGGCTACTCCATGACGCTCCGCCTCCCTCTCCCCGGCCTCACCCTCCAGCCTCACTCGAGAGGCCGTGCCACCTCAGAGAAGAGCGGGAATGAAGACTTCCGGGCTCCCAGCAGGCAGCGCGCGGGTCACGTGACGGCAGTGCGTCCTCGCATCTCCCGCTCTTTCCGGCAGCTCGGAATCCTCGGGAAATCTGGCTCTTGGTGCCAGCAAGATGTAGAAAGAGTAACTTCTGAGTGTGGGCTCCCAGAAGGAGCGAGGTCTTGTTCCTAGGGCTCGCAGTCTCCGTTCCTGCCTTGGTGCGACCAAACTTTCAGAATCATACCATTTTAGAAAAAATATTTTTTTATTTTATGTGTATGCCTGTAGTGCGTGTGTATGTAATTGCAACCATGTTGTGCAGTACTTGCAGAGGTCAGAAGAGGGCATTGGATCCCCTGGAACTGGAGTTATAGATGGTTGTTAGCTGCTGTGTGGATGCTGGGAACTGGGTCCTCCCTAAAAGGATCCAGTGCTCTTAACTATAGAGCCACCTCTCCAGCCCCAAGACTCACACTTAAGAAAGTAACTTTCTGGGGCTGGAGAGATGGCTCAGAAGTTAAGAGCACTGACTGCTCTTACAGAGGACCCGAGTTTGATTCCCAGGATCTGCATGGATGGCTATGAACCATCCTCAACTCCAGTTCCAGCAGAATCTGATGCCCTCTTCTGACCTCCGAAGCATTGCATGAAACGGTGCACTCCCATACATGCAGGCAATACACTCATACACATAAAATAAAAATAATAAATAAAACATTTTTTAAAAAGAAAAGAAAATGGGGCTGGAGAGATGGCTCAGCGGTTAAGAGCACTGACTGCTCTTGCAGAGGACCCAGGTTCCATTCCCAGCACCCACATGGTGGCTACGAACCATCCTTAACTCCAGTTCCAGGGGAATCCGAAGCCCTCTTCTGCCCTCCGCAGCATTGCATGAAACGGGTGCACTCACATGCAGGCAATACACTCATACACATAAAATAAAAATAATAAATAAAATATTTTTTTAAAAAAGAAACATTCTGGATATGTCAAGTTTAGCAAACCCAATTAGCATTCAAAAGATTTTGAACTATGCATGGTTTACTTACTCATGGCTTAACTTTATTGGGTATTTTCACAGTCAAGCTTCCTAAACTTGTTTTCAGTTAGTTGATGTGGTTCATTTTTTTTAAGTACATTGCCTCATAAAACAAGGTCAATAACACAAGTCTATGAACTCTAAGTGCATAATTTTACATTTTAGTAAGCTATATTCAATGCACGCACGTGGGTTTTTTCATTTATTTAAATGTAAACATCAAGGCTGGAAAGTGGCTAGAAATGTAGCTCTGTGGGAGAACACACTTGTATAACTAGACTGTTCTATCCCCAATATGGGAGGTGGGGAGGGGGAACTACTTGAAAGTGTATGTATATATTTGTTCGGTGTTTATGTTCATTGTCTTAAGGAAGTTCTTGGAAAATACAGTTTGCAGGCTTGATTTGCTAACTGGTGAAATATAAGCTGTTTACTAAACACTACACTAAATGGGTGAAGTTGACAATCTTCAAAGAGTTCCCTGGCCATTGTCTGAGGACTGATAGCAATCTATCAGTTGAACTTTTTACCATCTGTAGTAAAATGAAGGAAAAACTAATACATTTTTCATGAAGTTAAATATATTCAATTCATTTTAAAGATGTGTCCTGGGTGAGGATGTTGCTCAGTTGCTAAAATGCTTGCCGTCATATAGAGGGCTTTAGGTTTGGTCAGTCTCCAACAGGCATAAACCAGGCTTGGTGGTACACACCTGTAATCCCAGCACTAGAGAAGTAGAGGCCTAGAGGATCAGAAGTTCAAGGTCAGCATTGGCTACTTTTGAGGCTAGCCTGGGATACATGGAACCATATTTCAAATAAAAGACTGTCCTTTATCAGAATTCTATGGCTTTCCTAAATTTTTTTTGGTGTAAGCATGAAATAAAAATTTAAAATTTAAAAATTTTCAAACATCCCTACATGATAAAATATGAAGTTGTCCACTCAATATTTATTTATTTTTGAAACAGAGTCATACTGTGGAACTTATAATAGCCCTCCTGCCTCAGCCTTACCATTTTTTTCATTATTAGCATTAACACTGCCTTTAAAAAAAAAAAAAAAAGCTGTCACCCTAGCTGGCCTGGAACTTTCTATATAGACCAGACTGGCCTTGTTCCCACAGAGATCCACCTGCTTCTGCTTCCCAAGTGCTGGGACTAAAGGTATGAGCCGCAACACCCAACAGCACTATTTTTGGGGGGGGGGTCTTTTTGAGACAGGGTCTCCCTGTAGCCCCAGCTGTCCTAGAACTCACTATGTAGACCAGGCTGGCCTTGAACTCACAGAGATCCACCTGCCTCTGCCTCCCGAGTGCTGGGATTAAAGGCGTGCGCCACCACACCCGGCGGCACTGTTATTTTTAATAACCCATTAAATCAAAAAGTTGGGAAGCTATTATTGCTCTACTTCCTCTCTCAACCTTCACATTCTATTATATCCAAAGAGATGGGTATCCATTTGGTGCTTAAAATCTTTCAAAGAAAAAAAAAATCTGTCTTAATGAATGTTTTCATCAGATTAAAAGAAAGCATGACATTGTTTTAGACATTTATCTGCATGCATGCATGACAGGGTTCTCTAAAGAAACATAACCAGTAGAATGAATATAATATATATAATATATATGTATAATATATATATAAATATATATATATATGGACTTAGCTTAGCTCACAGGGTAGAGTCCAAGTAGTCCAACAATGGCTTCACCACACTGGAGAGGTTGAGAATCTGGTAGTTGCTCAGTCCACGAGGCTGACTGAAACTAAAAAGACTACTTCAGTAGTCCCAAGCTAGGGCTGAAAGTCTGATGAATTCCAAAAGACCAGCTAGTCTTCAGTCTACAGCAGCAAGATGAACTCACCAGTGAGAGAGAAGGCAAGCAGCAAGAAGCCAGGTGTTCTCTGCCGTGGCCTTTTGTACGGGCTGCCATCAGAAGGTAACACCCACATTTAAGGTGTGTCTTCCAGCTTCAGATGATTTACTCAAGAAGGTCTCTCTCATTTCAGTTAATCCCAATGCAGTCAAGTTGACACTCAGGATTAGCCATCACAGCATGTATATGTGTGTTTATGCACACATGTGTGTGAATACCCACAGAGGCCAGAAAAGGGCATCAGATCCCTTAGAGCTGGAGTTACAGGTAGAATGAACCACCTGATGTGCATGCTGGGAACCGAACTCCGGTCCTCTATAAGAGCAGTATGCACACTTACCTGTTGAGCCATATCTCCAGCCCCTATTTTATTGTTTCATCTTCACTGTATGAGTTAAATGTACATTGAGGGGACATGGAGTGTTATAATTATCCTGTACCTTAAAATCTTCAAAGGACTGTCACGATCTTATTTAATCTTCAAAAACAACCCTATAAAGTACAACGGACACTAAAACACATAGCTTGCTCCATATCAAAGTGAAAAAAACATATTAAAGTTCCAAAACTTAGAAATACACAACTTGAAATACACAGCTTGTCCACTCTACATCTTTAGAACTGAAGAAAACTCACTGGCAGCCTAGTTCTGCTCCCATTTGTGTGTGTGTGTGTGTGTGTGTGTGTGTGTGTGTGTGTGTGTGTGTGTGTGAGATTTGGAGTTTGAACTGAGGCCCTTGCTCTTGCTAGGCAAACGCTCTACCATCGAGCTATACCCTGCTCATCATTTTGTGACCCTACTTCACTGTTTTATGTTAGTTGGAGGATGAAAACTTGCTATTTCAAATTCAGTCATATATTTATTCTGCCCATGTTCTTCTTTAAAATGCTGGTTCTGGGGGGCTGGAGAGAGTCTCAGTGGTTAAGAGCACTGGCTGTTCTTGCAGAAGACCTGGGTTTGGATCCTAGCACCCACATGGAAGCTAACAATGATCCATAACTCCAGTTCTAGGGAATCCAGTGCCGTCTTCTGACCTCCATGGGCTTGCATGACACAAGTGCACTTACATACATGCAGGCAATACACTCACTCATACACATAAAATAAAAATAATAAATGAAATATTTTTAATGCTAGTTTTTCTTCTGGTAATCTGTGACACCAGTCACCCCCAGCCATCTCACCCCAGACTTCCCTTGTAATCATTGCTAAAGGCATGATGTTTTCATGATTTTAGGAAATGAAAACCTGATCCTGTTTAAAAAATCAAAAACTACCTGCTTACATAAGCATTTTGTTTCCTAACTTTAGAACTCCTCTGTTTTCATATCATTTCTGTTCTCACAGAAAACCAAAAAATGTCACTTTGCTAATTCCTTTACTGACAAAGTAATATAATTTAGCACGTGTTCAAGTTTTTAAAAATTCATAAGAAATGTTGCTTTCTATTATTTTCAAGGCTACATTTGCACCATGTTCTTTAGAAGTAGCATCTTAGAAGACTGTATTAATGAGTTGAATATAAACCCTAAAAATAATCTAGCTAAATAGACTCTCAGATATTTTAAGTCAGAACTTTGCCTCCATTCCAGGAATGGATGCTTCTGTTCTTTGGCTTTGGTTGTGTGTGTGTGTGTGTGTGTGTGTGTGTGTGTGTGTGTGTGTGTAGAAGGAGGAGTGCAGGTGCACACACACCATGGTAAGCATGTTGGATGTCAGTCCTCATCTTCCATCTTGCTTGAGACAGGCTGTCTGTACAGCTGCACCTCCCAGGCTAGCTGGCCCTGAGCTTCTGGAGGTTCCCCTGTCTCCACATCTCATTTCCTATAGGTACACAGGGATTACAGACACTTGTGTGCTATATCTGGCTCTTATTTGGATTCTAGGAACCTCAACCCAGCTCATTAGGCTTTCACAACCAGTGTTTTTACCCACCAAGCCATCCCTTCAGCCCTACATGTTTTATTACTAAAAATCGGATGTATTTGCTGCTGCATCAAAATCTACTTTTGGTGGGGCTGGAGAGATGGCTCGGCGGTTAAAAGCACTGGCTGCTCTTGCAGAGGACCTGGGTTGGAGTCCCAGCACTCATGGAGGCTAACAATCATGCATAACTCCAGTTCCAGGGAAATCCAATGCCTTCTTCTGACCTCCGTGGGCGCTGCATGACATGAGTGCACTTACACACTTGTAGGCAATACACTCATACACATAAAATGAAAATGATAAATAAAAATTTTTTTTAAATCTACTTTTTGTTGAAGAAACTATGAAAATTTATTCAAGCTGGGCATGGTGACAACACGCCTTTAATCCCAGCACTCGGTGGATCTCTGTGAGATGGAGGCCAGTCTACAAAGCACTTTCCAGGCCAGCTGGGGCTACAGGGAAACCCTGTCTCAAGAAAACAAAGAACAAACAAACAAAAAAAATGCATTCAAAAAATCTAATGTTATTTTCCCTACCCAGGATATAAACTATGAGAAATTCAGATTTTAAAAAAAAATCTAATATGGAGCCTAGGAGATACCTCAGTCAGTAAAGTTCTTGCTACACACACACACACACACACATGAGGATCTGAATTTTTCTTAACTCACATTTAAAAAGAAATGCCTGCCATAGGGCCAGTGAGATGGCTCAGTAAATAAAGGCACTTGCTGCCAAGACTGACACCTGAGTTCAATCCCTGGGACCCACATGGTAGAAGGAAAGAACCCACTCCTGTAAACTGTCCCCTGACCTCCATATATGCAGTGTGGCATGTGCACACCTACACACATACATACAAAAAAAAAGTTTTAAAAAATTGTTTAAAGCCCAGCATGAAGACATACGATTATAATCCTAGTACTGTGAAATGGAGACATTCTGATCCCTGGGTCTCACTGTCTGACAAGCCTAGCCAATTTAGGTAAGCCCCAGGTCCCAGTGAGAGACCCTGTCTCAAAAACAAAAAGAAACTGCTTCTGTTCCACTGAGAAATAAATCTGAATGAACTCGATCAACTATCATTCAACACCAAGTTGAGCTTTGGAAGGAGAAATCCTGAATAAGGGCATGATGTGGAAGAAAGAAAATACTACACAAAATATTTCCCCCAAATGTTATATTTTAGAAGTATTTTAGGTGTGATGATTATATGGTGGAAATTACTTCAGTATGATTGATTATTCAGTGGCATTAGATAAGAAAAATGTTTCATGCCAAAGTGTAAGAAGAGAGTCTCAAAACAGAGAGACTGCTGTGGAAAAAGATGCTTCAAAGTTGTCTAAGCAAGTGCTTTTCCTTACATTGCTTTTTTGATGAGCTTCTGAGAGGAGCAATGCTTTTGGACGAGCCAGACCTCAACTTCTACAGAGGAGATGATTTCATTAAATATTGATTTTTTTTTTTTAACACTAAAAGAAATGCCTGCGTTTTATAACATTTTCTTGTTCCCTGGAAAAGAGGCAACATTTGAAGGCGGGTCCAAGGCGTGCCAGAGGCAGTCTCCTCCCTCTGCCTCACTTCTTCCTCATTCCTTAGTCCTCTCCTCAGATTGCCGCTGGGTCCACACTGGGGCAGCAAGGAGCTCTCTTACCTCCTGCTCGCTGCTGTCCTGGCTGCCCCATCTCTGCTGCTGAGGAGGCTACCACCCTCGAAGACCTCCACAGTCTCAAGAAAAGGAAAGAGGCCGCAAACCATTCAAATCACTTCCTCTGGACGAAACTATTTGGCACAGGTAAGAAATGTTCCTCTTTATTTGGAAACCCAGGCATGTCAATTAGAAGTAAATAAGCTAAAATGCTATTGAGAAGGATGTGTCTGTCACTCAGAAAGGAAGTCAGTAACAGCAGAAGGAACATGAGCAAAAAGCTGAATGTTTGTCTCTATTTTATCAGATGTGGGAAAGGGTTACTTTGAGGTGGAGAGTCTCTTAACTTTTTGCCCTCATGTCCTCTTTACTCTTTTAAAAATTATTTAGGACCCTGAAGAGATTTTGTTTTTCTAGGCTATTTACCATATTACTGCACTATACTATAGTAGAAAGTAACGCTGAGAATTTTTTAAATAGTTGCTTAGTAATTCATCTTAAAGTTAAGTACATCCCATATCATCCTAAATGATATTTTTAAGACAGCTGTGTTTTCTGAAAATGCCATAAAGAGCGGTTTTTTTCATATTTGCAGATCTCTTTAATGTTTGGCCTAAGAGAAGAAAGCAGGGTTTTCATCCACTTGGCGCTCACACTGCTGCCGCCACAGAGAATGTGGCCTCTGAGAAAACACTCTCTTGTCCACTTGTGAGACAATGTGAGCGAAAAGAGTAAATAACATCCCAGAATTACTACAAAAATAGCTTCGACTTTGTGAACCTCTCAGAATTGCTGGTTCAGAGTGGTATAGTAAGCTCTTCTTCAAAGGGACTCTCAAATCCAAATCAGTTGTAGTAAAGCAAACAAGACTTTGTGCAAGGTTGGTAATCAGTAAAATTTGCAGCAGCATTCTTGGGCTGGGCTACGTTCGAATAATATTATAGCATTCCCTAGGAATACTTTATTTCACAGAAGGAAAGGGGTGAATAAATAAATTATCTCTATTTTGAATGCAAATAACAAAAACAATTAGGGCAGCTTTAATTTCCTCTTTAATTTTTGCCTATATTCAACTGTTCAACTTCCACTAAATCTTCCTTCAAAACATCTCATTCCTATTATTTATGAGATTCTGACTCTTCTATATGACTTTCAAACGTCTCCATAATCCTTTGCTCACTACAGGGCAGTAGAACTGTTTAATCAGTCCGAAAAAAAAAGTGTCTGCTCAGTACACCTATACCACATCATTGGCCATCACATAATTCTCCTTCTGAATGCCCTTCTTCTACCAATTTGTTTGTCTGTTTGTTTGCCTGCCTTTTGAAACAGGTTGTCACTATGTAGTCCTGGCTGGCCTGGAACTCACTATGCAGACTAGGCTGGCCTTAATCTCACAGCGATTGCCTGTCTCTGCCTCACGAGTGCTGGAATTAAAAATGTGCACTCCTATGCTCCATCTTCTTCCAATTCTTATCTATCTATTCAAATATGGATCATTCTTTTGGGGGTTGTTTGGGGGGCTTTTTGTTTGTTTTATTCGTTTTTGAGACAGGGTTTCCCTATAGCCCCAGCTGGCCTAGAACTCACTATGTAGAACCATGCTGGCCTTGAACTCATAGAGATCCACCTGCCTCAACCTCATGAGTGCTAGGATTAAAGATCTGTGCTACCACGCCCAGCTTGGCCTCACTCCTAAATCTTATTTTTGTTTTTGAGACAACTGCTCAGATAGCTCAGGCTGACATCAAACTCAATGTGTTACTAAGGATGATAGATTAGATTGGCCTTGATCTCACAGAGATCCCTCTGCCCTTACCTCCCACCAGTTGCTAGGATTAAAGGCCTGAGCCAACACACCCAGCTCTGGATCTTCTTTAAGATTAATATTGATTCTCTTTTTCATACAAGGGCATTCCATATATGTCAGTTCCATTTAATCTTTTGCTTAAGTTTATATTTAACAGTTATTAAACATACTTTGTATAATTAGTGATCTAATTTCCTAAGTCTTTTTCTACCCCATCTCTTCCACACCCTACATAGACACAGTCATAAGGTGCCAGATTTGTCTAGGGCTCAATGACTTATAGAATTGAAATGTTGCCTGACCAGTGAGATGGCTCAGTGGGTAAAAGCACTTGCCTTGAAGCCTGACAACCTGAGTTTGATCCCCAGAACCCACATAAAGATAAAAGTGGAAAGAGAGCTGACTTCACAAAGCTGTCCTCTGATCTCCACATAGGCACATGGACATCATACAAACATATGATAAAAATAAATAAAAATATTATTTTTTTAAAAAGAACTGTAATGTTGGCAGGTTTTATCTTGTTGCTGTCAAGATGACTCCCTACCTGATTTTAGAGAATTGATCAAATAGCGTGCTCCCTCTCTTCTACCCACATCTGTTCCACAGAATTGGCATTCCATCAATAGGGTGAATAGAATAACAGTTGTTTTTCAAGTTCAAAGAATTTTTACTTTTAATATAATAATATGTTTTTAAGCTCCTATTGAGTTAACAAGATGGCTGAGTAATATATGATAAGCATCTGTTGTCTTAGACTCAGGAGGAAGTGACTATGAAGACATTTGCCCGTATGAATGGTTCTTTCCTGGCAGCCTTAACTATAGTCTAGAATTGCAGAATGCGGAGCTGGAAAATATCTTAAAACCTGACCCTCCAACTTCCTTGTTTTCCAAATGAGGAAACTGAGACCCTCAGAAGTAAATGACCTCCCTCTGACAAAATTGGAACTCATGTGACCTAATTTTTCATCGTAATATTCTGCCATTCACTCTCTGCAGGCTAGTTTTCAAAGGCTTACATTACTAAAATGTTCTTGTTTCAAAGGCTCAGTTATTACTCCACTCCTGGGAGGAGTGAGGGCTGGAGAAATGGCTAGATTGGAAACATGCTTAAGGACCTGAGTTCAACCTCCAGAACCAATGTTTAAAAACAATCAGGGTGGTGGCATGAGTTTGTATCCTCAGTGCTGGGGTGGCAGAAACAGTTGGATCCATGGGGCTCACTGACCATCCAGTCTAGCCAGTAGGCAAGTTCCAGGACCGTGAGAGGCCCTATCTCAAAACAAAGAGTGGGACCAGCTTGGCACTTGTCACCAAGTCTGACTCCCAAACTGACTCCTGCAAGTTGTCTTCTGTCCTCACACGTATAGGCAGGTACACACACACACACCCCACATGAGAATATTAGATAAAATCTTCCAAAGCATTGTTGTCTACTGAGAACTGAAATTATCACAGATTAAAGTTGAGAAAGCAAAAGAACATGAATGAGAAAGAATAAGGAAAGGAGCTGGGGAGCCGGCTCTGTGGTTAAAAGCACTAGCTGCTCTTGCAGAGGACCCAGGTTCAGTTCCCAGCACCCATGTGATGACTAACAACCATCTACATCTCTAGTTCCAGGGACTTGGCATCCTCTTCTTCCCTTTCCAGGCATTGCACGCATGGGTACACTTACATCCATGCAGGCAAAACATCCATACACTTAAAAAATAATTTTTTAAAAAAAGAATAAGGTGGGGCTAGAGAGATGGCTCAGCGGTTAAGAACTGGTTGTTCTTGCAGAAGACCTGGGTTCGGATCCCAGCACCCACATGGAAGCTAAGAACTGTACGTAACTCCAGCCCCAGTGGATCTGACAGCCTCTTCTGACCTCCATGGGCACTGCACGAGGGTGCACTTACCTACATGCAGGCAATACATACATACACATAAAATAAAAATAATAAATAAATTTTTTTAAAAAAAGAATAAGGGAAATTTGGAGAAAGTTGTGAAGAAGAATATAGATTTGCAATCCTGACATATTAGAGCTAACAGAAGTGGTAATAAATTGAGGAATTAAAAATAAATACATAAACCAAAAAATTACTAGAAAAAAGAATATTAGAGAAATGTTTATATTTTTCATGAATCTGTTTTCAGGCTTCCCTTGTTCTATTTCTCTCATTGGGTTTTAGAGGAAAAGTTTTAAGACCAAAGAGAAAAATTCTATCAGTCTCTTTCACACCATTTCCCTGACAATGAGGTTTATCATAGCAAACATTTCTCTGTACATAGGCCCTACTAGACAGTAAGGCCTTTAGGAATCAAAGATTTGAGGATAAAGGGTGACTCATTGTCTAATAAACTCAGACTGAAAATAGGCCAATCTGCTTGTAATCCAAGTAATCTTAATTTTGCGTAGTAAAAACTGCCGGAAGTGTGAACTGCAGTGATTAGCAGAGGACTTAGCAGAAAGCACAGTTAGCTAGGAATGGGGCAGTCAAGGAAGTTTTCATAGACAGCTATTTAACTTGGGGCTTGCAGGGTGAAAGACAAAGAGGGTTTTGTGAGGGAAAAAGCAGGGGAAGGTCTGACCCACAGGAATATAACTGCAGCAGTATGGAGCAGGGAAGTCTGGAACCAAGAGCCACATGTAAATCTGTATTTAAACAGAAGGTGCCAAACATGATAAGGGCTCAATCTAAACAGTACTGGTGGAAATGGAGAGGCTTTGCCAAATCCTAGAGACACTTCTGCACCCAAATCTAGTATTTATCAGGTAGGGGGAAGATTAAAGAGTTAGGAAATGACTGCCAAGTTTTGGAAAAGTTACTATGCTGTGCTTTGAGGGGTAATGCATTAGTTATCTTAGTTCCAACTGGATCTGAATGAGAAATGGGCATTTAAAAGTTATATGTTGGGGCTGGAGCGATGGCCCAGTGGTTAAGAACACTGGCTGCTCTTGCAGAGAACCCAGGTTTGGTTCCCAGCACCCTCATGATGATTAACAGCCATCTATAACTCCAGTTCCAAGGGAATCCAACGCCCTCTTCTGACCTCCGAGGCCATTTGCATGACACAGGTGCACTTACACACATGCAGGCAATACACTCATACACACAAAATAAAAATAAAATATTTTTCAAATAATAATATAAAAGTTCTATGTCCTCTAGTAGCTACCAGCCTCACCCCATAACCAAACCTCCTGAAAGAATTGTTTATAATCACCCTCTTTACTGACCACCCTCCCATTCTGTCCTAATCTTTGTCCACCTGCTCTCCACTTCACCAGATCATCCCAACTGCCAAGTTCAGTGAACACATTAAAGCTTGCATCTAAATTCGGGGCT